GTACAACATGTACTACAGTATTTACTGTACATATACATATAATGAACGTTCTCTCGTCTGAAGTACTGCTACTATGTACTGTAATTATATTGTATGTGTAAGTAGTATTGAAACCTTGTAGATGAGCCTGTAGGCCAACTTTCCTCATGGTCAGTCCATCCAGAAGAACATGGTCAACTATAGTGCTTTGTATTTCATCAGGAACAAATGACCTTTGACCTCATCCCCTTCATTTTTATTTTCCCCTCCTATTCCTCTTTGTTTCCCACTACCAGGATTAATTTTCCAAAACTCATAATCACTTGTGCTCCTGTGCATATCTTCCTAAGGTTCAGACTGGTGTGTCATCAGTTTTGCTACTGAATGTTCACACATGGATAAATGTGCGCTGTTTGAGTTCATTTTTTGATGCTTGAGTTACTTATATTGTGTGTTTGTGTTTTCTGAATGAGAACATGGTTAAACCTGTGCAAAATTATGGCATTTTTGTGTAGAGTTTTGCAGAAAACACTGAGCAAATTGGAACGAGTGTGCAAACAGATGAAATGGGTTAAAAGTTTTGAGAAACGTGTCTTTGTTTTGAGAACTGTATGAATGTTTTGGAAAATGTTGCCAAATGAATCAGTTATAGTGTGTTAGCAATCGAGAAAAACTGTAATAAAGTTTCATGTTAAATCTAAGGTTATGTGTAAACCACTGTTGCAGGATTATTGTGACACAAATATAAAAGAGTAAGAGGCTTTTTTGGCACAGGCTGCACTGCGCAGCCACTCAAAAGCAAGTTAATGAGGAAAGGGGAATCATGTTTCTCCTGTCTTACTGCAGCTGATCATTTCTGGTTTAAACCCAAAGTACCATCTTGCCTCTACCTCTTGCGTGTCCAGTGCTTTGTGTTTTGCATATTTTTATTTAAATTCAGCTTTAAAGAATAAATCATGTTAAGTTAAATGTGTGTGTGTGTATAGAACTAACCAAATAACATTGAGTTGCTTAATTGAAAGCTTATTGTATTATGTAGAGCAGAGTATTATGATAGAAAGATGGACTGAGCGAGTGTGATTACCTGCATCACATACATTGTTCATTCTTCAGCTTGATCTCATATTTAGAATAAAACATTAGTTTGAATTACTACTGAGGAAAGCATTATCTTTATTTTAGTAAACTTTCAGCTGCTAAGGGGATTTCCCATGATAATGCTGGTCAATCCATTTGTTGGTTGTGTCTTACAAGGTGTTGTTAAAAGTAAAAATAATGTCAGTTTACAGCCTTTTTTCGTTGTTCCTTCATTACTAGTTCTAAAGTGATGTTTTCGAATTAGTAACGGAGACTTGATGACTTAGCTCATCTGTTAATACTTTGTGTGCACTGGCATGGACAAACAACACAAACCGACAGACATGTTCACATAGTGCACTTGCTGTAGACACAGAAGCAAACGCTGATTGTTCAGGATGTGCTTTAAGCTTGGTCACTACGTCACCCCTTGAAAGTTAACCAACATTACATATGAGATGTTTTTCATGGTTTTAAGGCCATCTTCCAATAACACTGAAAGAGTGAGACTTTATTTATTTATTTATTTATTTTTATGAAGTGCAGATTTATTCATTTGTAATATACCTTTTATGTAAATAAACTATGAACTGTATATTTTAATTTTGAACTCAATTCTAGTTGCCCTGTCTCTTTATGCTCTCCTCCTGTTTGCTCTGGTGTGACTGGTTAAGTGAATGACGCAGTCCGTGACGGACAGATCGTTAATGGCTGGTCTATGTGGTAATACAGTACATCGGGCAGGACATCCAAATGCTCACCTATCATTAATCGAATGATATTCATTGGCTTTTCATCTGAAAGATGTATGTAGTAGCAACTTTACATGGCCGCTCAATCTAATGTTAACCTAGAAAAATATGCGCTGTTCAAGTGTCTGTGCGGAGTGTGGAAGCTGAACAGCAGCGCGCTCACTGCAGGACAGATGGAGGCGCCGGTGCGCTCACTTGCTCTTAAAATACTCCCTCATTTTTGGTCATACAGATAAGAGTAATACATCTTTTGAATCTGTAAAGACTCTACGTTTATTTGTGTGCACTCAGAATAACAACGAAACGTTGTGCTTCTGTAAAATAATTAAAGCAAACAGGATGCACTTTCTGCCATCTCGGTCTCTGTGAACTTGAGCGAGAAACTTCGAAACTCTGTTTATGAAAAATATATCTATAGAGAGTGAAATGTCTACTTTCAAATGAACCAATTCAAATAGAAAATGTGTGTGTACTTGCATGGATGATTTACATGAAATTTAATGTGTGTGCAATGCACTGTTCATTGTTTAAGCTGGCTTTCAGTTCAATACATTTCCTAAGGTGGGCATGCTGTGATATGTACTGTATTTTTACTGTAACTGACAGATTCCGGCCAAAAAAACACAACGTAGGAGTGGGAGGGAATGGGAGACATTCTTCTGGTAAATAAACTATGAACTGTATATTTTAATTTTGAACTCAATTCTAGTTGCCCTGTCTCTTTATGCTCTCCTCCTGTTTGCTCTGGTGTGACTGGTTAAGTGAATGACGCAGTCCGTGACGGACAGATCGTTAATGGCTGGTCTATGTGGTAATACAGTACATCGGGCAGGACATCCAAATGCTCACCTATCATTAATCGAATGATATTCATTGGCTTTTCATCTGAAAGATGTATGTAGTAGCAACTTTACATGGCCGCTCAATCTAATGTTAACCTAGAAAAATATGCGCTGTTCAAGTGTCTGTGCGGAGTGTGGAAGCTGAACAGCAGCGCGCTCACTGCAGGACAGATGGAGGCGCCGGTGCGCTCACTTGCTCTTAAAATGATCATATTATGACGTCATCAGAGGCGGCCATCTTGAATTTCATAATATTCAGGAAATAGTAGATATTGAATTGATGTTTGAACTTATTTGCATGTTTAAGTGAATGACGCAGTCCGTGACGGACAGATCGTTAATGGCTGGTCTATGTGGTAATACAGTACATCGGGCAGGACATCCAAATGCTCACCTATCATTAATCGAATGATATTCATTGGCTTTTCATCTGAAAGATGTATGTAGTAGCAACTTTACATGGCCGCTCAATCTAATGTTAACCTAGAAAAATATGCGCTGTTCAAGTGTCTGTGCGGAGTGTGGAAGCTGAACAGCAGCGCGCTCACTGCAGGACAGATGGAGGCGCCGGTGCGCTCACTTGCTCTTAAAATACTCCCTCATTTTTGGTCATACAGATAAGAGTAATACATCTTTTGAATCTGTAAAGACTCTACGTTTATTTGTGTGCACTCAGAATAACAACGAAACGTTGTGCTTCTGTAAAATAATTAAAGCAAACAGGATGCACTTTCTGCCATCTCGGTCTCTGTGAACTTGAGCGAGAAACTTCGAAACTCTGTTTATGAAAAATATATCTATAGAGAGTGAAATGTCTACTTTCAAATGAACCAATTCAAATAGAAAATGTGTGTGTACTTGCATGGATGATTTACATGAAATTTAATGTGTGTGCAATGCACTGTTCATTGTTTAAGCTGGCTTTCAGTTCAATACATTTCCTAAGGTGGGCATGCTGTGATATGTACTGTATTTTTACTGTAACTGACAGATTCCGGCCAAAAAAACACAACGTAGGAGTGGGAGGGAATGGGAGTCATTCTTCTGGGATTGGGACGGGAGGGGATTTTCCCCTCATTTTTTCGTGGGATGGGACAGGATTTTTTTTTTTTTTGTTTGGGAGTAGGACGGGAGAGGTTTGAAAATTCACTCCCGTGTCACCCTCTACTTTTCTTATAATCTCTCTTTTTTTTTTCATGGTAAACTCTAAAAATATTTCAATCCAGAAGTATTGTTTAGTGTAAAACATGTTGAAGATTATCAGTTAGGCTGTCGATTCATTAAATGATAAGCCGTTTCCTCTAAAAAGCTGTTTATTCAGCGTAGTGAAGCCTCTCCTCCATTGACATCCATTAAAAAAACGGCCTCTGGTCTCCTTTCCAACATACTGCCAAAGCGGAAGTGTTAGCATTAGCCTTTTTTTGGCTAAAGGTTGCAAGCTTGCCTTCTAGTGGCTTTGATATCATTGTGTTTTCAGACCACACGTTGGCCTTAATTTCTGGTACACTGGAAGATGTATGGATTGTGGATGTACTTGAGTGGTGCACAAAACTCACAAAATAAGTCTACCATGCACCCGCAGAACATTTCTGCCAATAAAAAACAAAAAACAATTACCAACTTGACCTCATGCATCATCAAACAAACAAACAAAAACAATAATAATTTATTAATTTTATTTCATTTTATTTTTAGAAATTGCATTCAGGTCTTAATTTTTTTTTTTAAAGTTTTAATTAGAAAAAGCCTTTTGGGACATTGGCAACGAAGTCTTACAGCATTGATAGGTCCGTAGAACAGAAATTAAGAAGACAGCTGTATTACTGCATTCATATGTTGACTTTTCTGTCTGAATTTTAAAACATCATGCAGATATCCGTCACATATACATCTACATTTGATAGATACAAAAGGCATATCCTGTTTTTCTAGGTCATGATTCACATTTAATGTGTAAAACTCAACAGTGAACTCGGATGAGCAAAGTCATAAATAGGTTTCTGCATGAGACACTGTCTTGAAGAGTGTTAAACTCAAGGTCACACTAATGAAAACCATGTTTACATTGTAACTTTTTTCTTTATACATTGTAACCGCTGTTGTCCTGAGAGAATCCAACAACAAATATATCCAATACTAAGATGCTACCCCTAATCTACTCTTCTCACACACATACCTTGTATTTAATTATGTTACCTCTGAATGTTATAGATATACATAAAAAGGAAATTAAATGATTATGAGGTAGCATTTTCTTACAAGTACAATCTTACTTCAATATGTGACTGAAGTGCATTTTAAATTTACTCATGATAACAGCATTTAAACAATGTTTTCTCACCTGCTGTAGGTCCACCAGGCAAAAGGGGAAGAAGAGGACGCAATGGAGACTCTGGTGAGTGTGTTTTAACTCCAAGTTTTCAAACTGTTAAATCATGAAAATTATTTGCTGGCCACAGTCTGTGGGACAGTTAATAAATGCCCCCCTTAACCACAGTTTCCAAGTGCCTGAGGAATCTTTCAGTACAATTACATGCTAGCATTGGATTCTGTGTCCAGTGACTAGCATTCCAAAGGGTTTGGTTTATTATAGTAGCTGTTACCATTAGTTACATTTTTACTGAACCTCCAGTTAGAGGTGCAGACACAAGTCAGCCACACAAATTCTGTTCAAAGGGGCCATTTTCTGGAAGACACATATGCATAGCTCCAGGATCACATTAAATAGAAGAAAAAATCTTCAATCTCAAGTATGTATATGTAGAGTATCAGTGGTAAGCTGAAGTGGAACATGTTGATTATACAAGGACTACCCTCTGTACTACCCTCTCTACTCTCCATAAAAAGCTCATTCAAATTACTGCATGTAGAGGTGCATTCTCTGTTACAGAGTACTGGATTCTATTTGATTTTCTATTGTGAGTTTCTCTTGTAAAAATATGTTTGAATGTGTAAATGTGACACATTGGATTAAAATAAAATAAAAAAATATCTATATATTATAAATATACTAAACAATGTTTTAATTTAATAAATAGATCATAAAAAGTTATTTTTTTAATTTCATTTATTTTATTTTTT